TTCACTTTATCTTGAACCCCCATGATTTCCCTACAAGTCCATTTCACAGATGCAGAAACAGGTTCAGAGAAGATAAGTGCATTACCCAAGGGCACACAGCCAGGATTTCAGCCTACATCTGGACTGCCAAATTTTTTTCTACTTTATCTCTATGGCCCTGTCTTCTTTCCCCACTTTCCGCCTGTTGTCTGTCTCCCTGTCAAATCAGCCCTTTTGCTCTCTAACCCCAAGTCTTTAGGCACACAGTAGGGCGTGGCCTGGCCTAATGACAGAAGGGAGTTCTGGAGTAGTTTCTCAGTCTTGACACTGCTAACATTTTGGCCTGAATCGTTCTCTGCTGTGTGTGTATGTGTGATATATATATATATATACACATGCACATGTAGCTTTACATTTTGTGTTACAAAACATTGTAAGATGCTTAGCAGCATCCCTGGCTTTTCTCCATAGCAAGTAGTAGCATCCTCTTTTTCTTTGGTGATTAAAAAAAATGTCTCCAGACCATGGCCTAATGTTCTCAGGGAGCAAAAGTGCCCTCAATTAAAAACCACTGCTTTATAGAAATAAGGGATCAAGGTCAAATTGATAACAGCCTCTCCCCCCGTTAGACTTCCAGGAGGCAGGGGGCAAGAAGAGAGGATTGATTTATTCACAGCTGTGTTATTCATACCTAGTGCTGGGTACACAGCAAGTACTGCTGAGAGGAGAATGAATGAATGAGTGGATGGATGGATGGATGGATGGATGGATGGATGGATGATTGGTTTCTGTGGATTTGGCACATTCTGGGACTGAAGGTCTGGGTTCGTCCTGTACAGATCCTCACCAATTTGCTTTGGCATGGGGTATAGTCCTTTCCCTCTCTGGAGCTCAGGTTCCTTTTGTGATCTCTTTAGTGAGAATCATCACAGGCCCCAAAGGCCCTGGCCATGGTCTGGGGACAACCAGAGACCAGGGGGCTGAAGAGGGACTGCCCCCCCCCCCCCGTCCAGACAGTGCAAAACTGCCTACTTCTGTCTTTCTCTTTCTTATGCTCACCCCCTCAAGCCAAATCCATTATAGAGACAGGCAAACCCCTACCTGCAATATTGACCCTATTCAGGAGACATGGCCCCTTTTTTTGGGTGAATGTCTTAAAAGGAAAAACATGTAACCTCAAAGGTAACCAAATATCCAAATCGTGATGCCCAGCATCACACACCCGAATCCACCTATTCATGAGTTTAACAAAAAGCTTCTTTAGGATACACTGTAAGGCTATTGAGAGGGAGTGAAGTTGCCTCTCACACACCCCAGCCAGCCCACAGGGCCCGCCCACACACACACACACACACACACACACACACACACACACACAGCTGCTTACAAGGAGGCTCTGAGTTTTTAAAAGTAAACTCAACCATTTCCGTTCTTGCCCTGGATTCAACTTTTGAAAAAAAGGAACCGTTTTACCGGTTCCCCTACAAATTCCCCTGTCTCTGGTCCTCCTCCTGCCTATACTCCAGCCCTACGCTGCCTCCTCCAGAATCCCTCCTCTGCAGACATCTTTTTAACCTGTCCAGGGGTCCATACCCCTTCACAAGGATGGGGTATCTTGTTGGGATCTGGGGGAAGGGAGCAGCCACCCCCAAAGGAGATGCCATTGAGACAGCTCCCTGTGCCCCAAGGAACAGGGCTTTCTTGTGGAAGGAGGCAGCAATCTGGCTTCCTTCTGGACCTAGAGCATGGGTTTGGGACAGCAGGAGAGGAACACTACTGTCTCCAACAATTGCTTCCTCTTTCAGGTGACACCCTCAGGACAGCCATTGCTCTGTCCCCTCCCCTGTTCCATTGGTAAGCAGAGCTGTCCCCCATACCTTGCTTCCTTTCTGACTCTGGGTCTTCTTTCTTGAGCTTGTCTAACACCCTCAACCTGCCTCCACCTCTAGCTGCCTTCATTCCTGGACACCTAGGTGTCAGGCTGGGCACTGGTATAGCTGCAGCAGGGACACCCCAGCGCCTGCTACCAGGAGCACAAGGCAGGGATTTCTCAGAGACAGAAACATCATTGCCACTGATGTCTTTCAAACTTTTTCCACCACAACTCGGAGTAATAAACACATTACGCAAACATCACATTTGTATATATTTGCACACATACGCATACATGGTGAATATTTGTACCCTCATAGAGAACTGAAGAATATTTAACAGAAATAAAACTTTTTGGAAACAATACTTACCCTTAACTACATAGGAAGCACTCTAAAATTTTTCTTTCTTATTTCATTAAAGCCCCCACTAAATTGGTGTCACAGTCTGCGGTTGGACTAATCCTGTGCTAGCTGTTCCTACAGACACACTAAAAGTGAGACTCTAAGCAGACTCCTGTGGGTCTCCCCTGGCTCAGCTGAGGTCCCCTAGTGCCTGAACAGAAGGGTCTTGGGGGATCTTTTTCTAGAAGGCCATCATTTAAAATGAACCCACACTAAAAGTTGGGACATGCATTCTCTGACTCAGACAGAATAGGCAGAACTTGGTACCATCCTGACTTTACGGCTTGTAACCTCAAGGGGGCCAAGGAGCTGGCAGAGAGGAGGAATTGGGGGTATGGTACCTACTGAGGCATGGACAAGGCACCCACAGTATGTCTTTTAATCTTCACAAATATCCACTTCTGGAGGTATTTTCCCCCTTTTGAGAGAAAAGGAAACTGAGCCTCAGGGAGACTCGGGAACCTCACCAAAGTCATGTAGCGGGTAAGTGGCTGTGCTGGGATTCGAACCCAGGTCTGTCTTGCATGCCACACACATGGCTCTTCCCCACCATCTTAGAAGGGGAGCTCTATCTTGAAGCTTCCCTTTAGCTGGGGAATGGGCACATGAGGATGGAGAACACACCACCGCGGCATGCAGGGGTGGGGATTGCCTGGGTTGGGAACGTGTGCACGGACAGGATGTGTGCCCGAGGGTAAGTGGGGCTTCCAAACAGTAAGAATCCTAATGCAAGTATAATTAATTAAGATTTTCCATGGAAAAATTTAGGGAAAGACAAATTACTTAATATTAAAATTAATAATAACATTGAGTGGCTACTGAGTGCTTGTCTTGTGGTGGGCACTTTGCTAAGCCCTTTGCTTGAGTCATCTCAGCTACTATTTATTCAGTATCTACTGTGAGCCAGCACTGAGCACAGAGTCTGGCTTCTGGGTGGCACTCATAAGATGTTAGGGAATGAATGAACATAACATCCTGGCACTAGAAACCACACACAAACCTTCCTAAATTAAACATAATGTGAGGAATTCCAGCATCTGTGAAAGATATCTTCTTCCTTTGGGCCATTCCTTCATCTAAAACTTTTTAAACTAGGGAGATCTTGTGTTCTATATTTTTTTTCTTATAGGTTAGAAATACCCCCTGCCCCACCCTTTGCTTCTGTCCCTATCAAGCCTTGGCCATTGCTTCTTCCCCATTGCCCTGCAGATTCTGGGTTGTAACTTCCTGGGTTCAGTGATTGACAGGTCAACACTCTGCATCTATCTTCATCTTCACAGTGCCAGCTGAACTGCCTTGCCTAGGGCACATGGGGCAACCTAACTGCTCCTTGTTCATGGGCACTCAGAAGGCAAGAAAGAGAAATAAGGATTAGCATTCAGACTTTTAGACCCTTAAATCAGAAGGAGTGACTGGCTATGGCCTCAGAAAACTTAGACTGTGGTCCTGTCTCTTCCCCTATGACACAGTGTGACCTTTGGAAAGTCATTGCACCTTTCTGGGTTCCCTTTCCCTTATCATGAGATAAGGTGGGTGTGTTTCCAAGGCCAAGAGTTCTCCCAAACTGTCAGACACCTTCCCACTGCGACACTCAGGACCAGAAACAGCACATTAACCCAATTCAGCTTTGTGTTTCCCTCTTTTCCTCCTGGCAGCCACCCCCACAGAACTGGAATTTACACATCAATCAAAATACAGGGACCTGAGCTGCTTGATGGTGAAACCCTAGTGGAATCCCTCCTGTCAGAAGCCAGCTCCTGATTGCAGAGATAATGATGGAAAAGTTGGGGTTGAATCCTATCTCCCACCCGGAGATAACCCTCCACCTCTCCAGCGTGTACTGGCCTAGAATGTGGGTTCAATTAACATAATTGACAGCCTCCTACCCAACCCTAGTATTGGAAAGGGCTCCTGCTCCACTATTGTTGACTTTATTTGCAGAGTATCCCAGGATGAAAAAGCTGTCCCTGGTCTCCTCCTCTTTCTGCATTGAAAAATGTCCCTTCTTGGTGGACAAATGCATGTTCAGAGCACCGCTCTCCTCTCCCTTATGGGCAGCTCAGTAGCCCTGTTTCAGATTCTGCCAATCTCTTCCCAGCCTTTTCTTCACTTCTCAGATGCCTTGTGGTCCCTGCAGTAAGCTAAGTGGTTAAGGAAATGAAGCTGATGAGTTCTCTCAGCCTCTGCTCTGGCACCTCTGCATACCTGACAAGCTGCCCACATCATTTGGTGGATTCCCTGGCTATGGGACCAAGGAGGCCTCCTCTTCCCCAGCTGACAGAGCGCAGGCCAAGGCTCAGAAGATGCACCCCTCTAACAGCTCCAAAGAGGCACAGCAGGGATTTGAACCCATGTCTTCTTGATTTTAAAGCTGCTACTCTGTCAACTACACATCAATATATCCTCTCAGATTCTAGGACTTGAAAACGAACAGGGAATTGGCAGCACACTCTCCCTTGTTCCTTTACTTAATTCTGGACACTTGGAGACAGGAGCCCCTTCTCACATGTTCCTTAGCCCCATTCACTCTGAGTGGGCAAGAGTGAGAAAGTTTGCTCAACTCTACTGAGGATGCAGTTGGTGATGCCGGGAGCCTCGGGTACACACACACACACACACACACACACACACACACACACACAGGGGAGACCGAGGCAGCACATCCCCAAGGCAAAGGCGCACAACCTCAGAATTGATTTGGGACGCCCAGAGAGAACCTTTCTCTGGAGGGAAGGAGACAGTTACCTTGAAGAGTTGGACTCCCTCCTCAAAGAACTTCAGTCCAGTACACCTGGAGAGGCAGCCGGGGACTCCTGAGGCCAGGAGGCCTGGGTCTCGCTGCGCAGCGGAGGAGACACTCGGCGCGGGCGCTTGCGCACCCCTCCTCCTGCTGGCGTGCTGTCCGCAGGTCCCCTCGGGCGGTGGCCGCAGCGGCAGCGGCTGGGTTGCAGAGTCCCGACTGAACCAGAGAAGGTATACTCAGAAAGGTGCCCGGAGCCCCTTGGTGCCCGCGTCAGATGCCGGCAGGCGAGGGTACGGAGAGAGAGAGAGAGAGACCTTGAGCGGTGCCGTGCGCGTCCTCAGCTCTGTGAGCCCCCTCTAGAACCGCGGGGAGGTAGGTGGGCGGGCGGGCAGGCGGGCATGGCGCGCGGTGACACATACATAGGGGCGGGCGGGGGAGGGGAGGGCACTCCAGGGGTGAGGGGCGGGAGGGGGAGAGCGCAAAGGGAAGCCCCACCCCCCGGGGTACCGAGGGGCGGCCACCAGGGGAGGCGAAAGCAGAGACGTCTGGAGCGCGCTGGACCCCGGCTCCAGACCGGCGCGCCACTGGGGAAGCCGCTCGGCGCGCAGGGCGCGAGAGGAGCGCTGCCCGCGGCGGCGTGGACCCGGCATCTCTGAGGCCCGCGGAAGGGAGACAGCGCTCGAAGGGCTGAAGGGCCGAGTCTGCATTGCGGTCGGCAGCTCCGCAGTCGGAGGGGCCCCGAAAGGCTGCACCCGCAGAGCAGCCCCAAGCGCCCGGGTGTGATGGCTAGAGCTGCCGGCTGGGTTTCCCCAGCAAACATGGGCAGGGAGGGAGCGGCCCCCTGCTTTCGGGCTGCAATTTAAAAGACCCTCCACAGAGGAGCTGGCTGAAAGTTTTGGGGTTGAGGTACACAGGGATGGCAGTGGGGGCAGAGACAGGCGTTAAGGAAGCAGCACGGAGGTGTACCAGGGCAGAACGCTGAATGAGTCTTTTAAATCCAGGAGAAACCAAGGACATCTCAAATGAAAAGCAGAATTCATCTGTATCGCTGTTAACTCCAGAACCTCTAAAGCATTTTTTTTTTCCTGGGAAAATGAATAAAAAGACTAACAGTTTTGAGTGTCTTCTATGAATCCACCTACATTAATGTTATTTAATTTCTCTAAAGAGACCAGTAAACATTAAAATTCTCAAGCCCTCTCCCCCAGATGATGTGAAACTGAGGTTTAGGAAGTGGTGGAGTTACCTACTCAAGGTGGGGGTCTGAATTCAAACCCAAGGTCAAACTCTCTGTGCTACAAGAGCTGCTGGTTAAAGCTGCAGCAACTTTTTTGGGGGATCTAAACTGGCTGGTGGCCTTAAGGGTCCTTATGGAGGAACTGGTGTGCTTCCCACTAAGATTTGATGGACTCAGTTAACATGGCAAAAGCCTCATGCCCCTCATTGGGCAAGGACTGAAGCGCAAAGTGGATTCTTTGTGGACTGCACATTACAGAAGAGATAAATCAAGCTCTTCTTTGATTGCCAGGAACATAGTGCCTCAGTTTTCCCCAGAATTGTGTGGGTATCCTTCTGGCCACCTCTGCTTGAGCTGGGACTGTCTGGCCCATAGTGTTCTCTGTAAACCCCCTTTTCTCTCCTCTGTTCAGAGAAGTGAGGTTCCTGGGCAGACAGCTGTGCACACTCCACCCACCTGTCTCTTGGAGCTGTGGCTAAGGTGCTCCATTAGTTGGCTGTTCTTGATTCCCCCCTTTTCACCTGAGTATCTGGGTCAGGTCTCTACATTACAGAGCACTTAAAGGACATTAGTGTCAGAAAGCTCTTGGTGGCATGATGATGCTTCTCCTGTCCAATTCAGGAGTCCTGGTCCTGGTGTCGTATATGTCTGATGTTGCTGGCAGTCCCTTCTCCGTTAGAACACTTCCCATTTCCTAGTGTCTTGCCAGGCTGCCTGATCCCATGTGCTGTTGCTGTGCTTTCTAACCTCTGGCTACAAAGTGTCTTCTACAGACCAGTGTGTGGGCTGGGAGCTTGCTGGAAATGCAGAATGTCAGGCCAACCCAGACCTGCTAACTCAGAATCTGCATTTTGTATCTGCTGAAGCAATAGAGGTACTGTGATGATGTTATTTAGCAGATTCTACCCAGGCAATCTTCAAAGCACAGAAGAGAAATGGAGAGCTGGGAAGGGCTCTTAGAGAATTTGGAAGATGGCCCTTCTAGGGTATGCCAGTGCTTTCCCCCAGGTTCACTTTTGCATGGACATACCCAGGGGTTGGATCTTCCGAGGGCATGCCCTATTTTCACATGGTTCTAGTATTTAGGCAGGTCTCAGTTGCTGTGGAAGCTCCTACTCCTTCCCCACACTGTGGATTCAGCAATGAACAAATCAGGCCCATTTCTACCCGCTGTCCCCAGGTCTTTGGCCTCCTGCCATGGGACTGATATTCCAGTATTTAAAGTTAGTGATTCTTTTGCCCTCACCCTCACCATCTTCTCCTTTTGGATGAGGCATCTTCACTCCTTTCTACTCTTTCTCATCTGTCTCCATCAATAGACCCACCTCTATTAATCTTCTTTAAGCAGGCCTAAATCACCTGTGTCCCATGCAAAGAGTAACTCAGAACTGGCACAGTACTCCCATTAGTGTGCTCAGCCCAGGGGAGAACTTGCCTCCTTCGTTTGAGTCCTATGCTTCTGTGATTGCAGCCTACATTCACGTGGTTTTCTAACAGCCTCATCAAGATCATTCTGAGCCTGCAACCAACTCAGACCTTCTTTTCACTTCTACTATGATGTCTCCTCTGGCTTATCCTGATACAATGAGTGGGATTTTCCTAATCGAAGACTGGGACTTCATCTTTTCTCTATTTAAAATTACCCTAATAAATTCAGTTCACCACTCCAGGTCATCTTGGGGTTATGATTCTATCATTCTGTCTGTGTTCAGGTTTGCACTGGACTGAACCTAGGGATGAACTCTAGGGCAGGACCAGAGGCAGCCCTCCAAGGATGGCATGGCTCTGTATTCCAGTTACTATGGCTGCGTAACAAACCACCCCACAACTTAATGACTTGAAACAAGCATAGTCATTTAATATCTCCCATGGTTTCTGTGGGTCAGGAATTTGAGAGATGCTCAGCCAGGCAGTTATGGCTTAGAGTCAGATGTCAGTGTAGCTGCTGTCAGCTGAAGGCTTGTAGAGGGCTCAAGGACCATGTCTAAGGTGGCATACCCATGTGATTGGCAGGTCGTGCCAATGAAAGCCAGTGGCTTCCGTAATTCTCCATGGGGGCCTCCCAGTGAAGCTACTTAAGTGTTCCCATGACAGGGTGGCTGGCTTCCACCACACTGAGTGACATGGAGGCAGGGAAGAAGCTGCAGTGCTTCTCTGTCTAGATCTGAAGGTCATACACCAATCCTGAATTCCAGTGGTCACATAGCCCTGGGTTAGTGTGGATGGGGATGTAAATAGTGGGGGATGAGAATTACAGGGGCATACCGGTGGCTGTCTAAACTGACTCTTAGAGGATGGGCAATCTTCCAGCCCACCTAACTGTACCACCACGGAGTACTTGTTTCTGTCCCTTATAGGGGGACATCATATAAGTACCTTGCAAAGTTTGAGTATAAGGTATTTGCAGAATTTCTTCAAAGCATCCGTCTCATACTCCTGTATGAGTGAGTGGCTTGGTTCTGCTCTCCCAAGCCACATTATCTGTCTCAATGTCTACAGGTCAGACAGCCTCCAGTTAGTCCACAGGGTTATCCTGATACAATGAGTGGGATTTTCCGTGACTCCCTTTAGAGCAGGAGGCCCCAGGCTCTTCAAATGTTTCCCAAGGAAATCTTCTTCTGAATTTCTTGATCTCTGGAAATGCTTGGTCATGGAAGTCCATTCAAAATGCGCTTTCCAGCCCTGCATTCCCCAGCAAGCCCAGTTGTGGCTTGGGGCGGGGAGCCGGGCCAGGACAACTCTTCCTTCTCATCATGGACATTCAACATTCACTTTCCTTGGACATTCATCTCCGACTGGTGTGGCAAAGATGGTTGCTTTTCAGAGCTATGTCATATCCTATTGAAACTTGTGGACAATTAAAAGCATCAGACTGTTTTTATGCTGGCCACCGTGAAAGGGTTGCCTATCTGACTCTAGCTATAAAATAGTTAAGGAATGGTGTGTGATAGTCTTGGATGTGAATCCCAGTTCTGGCACAGGAACCTCAGGCAAGTTTCTTAACTATTCGGGATCTTGACTTTTATACTTATAAATGGAGCTATCTCATGGAATTGTGAGAATTAAAACAAGACATGGAATGCGCCTAGCAAACGGTCTGGCTTGAGGTGCAAGGATGAGGAATTTTCTTCTTTCCTCTACCCCTTGAATTCTGGTGTCCCTGAGTTAGCATATTCTCTTCTGTGTGCTACTTTCTGGATTTGTAAAAGCAGCTAAAAATACCCACCTCATAGGAGTGTGGCAATGATAAATACTATATGTTATGTTTGTACAGAACATTGCAATCCTTTCTGGAAGCAGAGGGCTGTAGAAATACAATGTAGAGCAGCCTTCCTATGGCAGAACTGAGCCAGGGAGCGAGCCCACTGAGAACCAGTGAACTGTTTGAAAAGTGCCATTTTATTACTGTAACGCTGTACAAGTGACAAACTAAGAGAGAAATGTTCTAATAATAAAAAACACGAGATAAGTTAATGAAACACTTGCAAGCCCCACAGGTCTGTGTGGAATCATGATGTACAGTGACAGGAAAGTGCTGTGTCACCTAATACATTCACATTGAAGGCACATTTAAGGAAATTCTCATTTCTTGAAGCTTCAGTTCAAAAACATTGAGTTCCTGAATTTGTAGCAGATTCCTATTTTCAGTAAAACCCTGCCATTTATAAAGGAGGAAATTATGGCAAGCATTTTACTCATCGTTTACTACGGTATTTACCAGTTAGTGAGTGAGCTGAGTGTGGTGTTCCTCTGTTGGGTTATAAGATCATTACCATCATCATCACCATCACCATCATCAGCAACAACATTTTCCAAGCAGATCTGGGATAGGAGCATTTAGGTTTTGCAGTCCTGGAATTGTGTACCTCCCCAGGTTCCTGGGAGCCTTTTCACCTTCTGTCTCCCTCCCTGGATCCCAAGGGATTGCTTCCCACACCCCAGACCTGAGCTGGCTATTCTCTGGTCTTTCCTTTATTCCAGCCACCAGAGTCTTTTGGGAAGGCTGATCAGCTACGTTTGATACATTTCTTTTCTTTCAGAAATAACATTGGACTATTTTGACAAATTTGTCCCAGAGTTTCACACACCATAATGTAGATATAGAATGCATGCTTATAAGATGGGCAAAACCAGTACAACCACCTCCCCCCCACCACACACACACATACTGGCTAGAA